TGTTTAGTATTTCTAGTGAACTCTACTAAATTAGATTTATTTAAAGGAATTTAAAAATATGCGTGAAAAATGTACAAGTTGTGGTGAAAAAAGACTACTCAAATATGATAACCTATGCACTAGTTGTTATTCTGCACAGTTCCATTATGTTAACAGCGGAAATGAAGATATCGATAATTTGATTAAAACAACACATAGCAACAATCCCAAGTTTATACTAGAGTGGATTCCATTTGAAGATTTTACAGATATCAAACAAATTGGAGAAGGCGGATTTAGTAAAGTATTTACCGCAACGTGGACTAAAGGAAAAATAAAAGGTTGGAATGATACGCATGAAACATTTAACCGAGAGAATCCTGAAACGGTCGTGTTAAAGATTCTTAAATATTCACAAAACATTAATTCGGCATTCCTAAAAGAGGTAAAACATAAATATAACATAATTTAATAACGGATTCATTGTCATAAAATATCTTATTCGTTCTTTATTCTATTTTAAACAGTTGAAAAATATCACTTTAACTCAACCAAACTCCTCTGCTCGCTATATAGTTCAATGTTATGGAGTATCATGCGACCCAGAAACAAAAGATTATATATTTGTTATGTCTTATATGCAACATGGGAGTTTGCACGAGTATTTATCTAAGAATTTTAATGATATTAATTGGATAGACTGGAAAGAAAGCGGAGTGTCGAAAGTGCATCTTCTTAAAACTCTTGTCATAGGAATTAAATGGATTCATAAAAATAAGATTGTACACCGAGATATACACAGTGGAAATATATTAATCCGTTCAAATAATGATTCGTTAATTGCCGATTTGGGGCTTAGTCGTCCCGCGAACGTAGATCCAGATCTAGGCATATATGGATTTATACCGTATATTGCACCTGAGATATTTAATGAAAAAGGTTTTTCGTTCAGCTCCGACATCTACAGCTTAGGAATGGTCATGTGGGAACTTACAACAGGGTGTCGTCCCTTTTATAAACGAAAACCTGACGTGAACCTTGCTCTGGATATATGTCGTGGACTACGTCCTGAAATAACCGAAGATACGCCAAGATTGTGGGCCGTCTTAATGGGAAAATGTTGGCATCCAAATCCTCTAGAAAGACCATCGATTGATGAAATATATAAATTAATAAATTCCCCTGATTGGGAATTTAGCGAGGAATTTTATGACGCAGAAAAGAAACTACAAAACATCAAATCCGAGCAGCGAAGCTTTGTATACCCTCATACTAAACATTTTAGTACTTTATTAGATTGTATTATAGAAACCACAAGCAGTACCTTAAGTTCATTCGGAAATACGTCTTTAATAGGTAATTATTAATATTTTGCTAATCGCATAATTCAATTTTCAATTAAAAAGTTTTTTGAAATAATTTTAAGACTCATATCTCCGTTCATTCGATCTCATGAAAGACCCGTAAGTAATAATTTTAACTTTTAATATTGTACGGTATATAAATGTTAATGGATGAACAGAAGCACCGAACTTACTTTTAAATACTCGGATAATTCAAGCTTTATCAATTCTGTCACAAATTCATTAAAACGCTCTGCCGAGTTTTCACCATGTATATATACTCAAAGTAAGCTAATCGTAATTGTTACCTTTTTAACAAATTTGTAACTTTATTTACAGTTTTTTAAATTATATCTAGGTAAAGTTAAACAAAGAAAATTTTCTGATTCGGTAAATAATAAAAACTGTCAAGAAATCAAAGAAATAAGTATTGGACTTCTAAATTCGCAACCAGACACTACACCGACTTCTGATATAATACATTGTTCGGATAGTTTAAATTCGAACGTTGAACTAAATCTTTATGTGGGAGAAGCATTAGTCGATTTTTTATGTGCAAATACTATTACTAATTTGGACTTAAGTAATAAAAACTTAAATGATAAGGATATAAAAGGATTGGCGGTAGCTTTATCTAAAAACATACTACTCTATAAATTAAACGTTGAGGGTAATAATTTGAGTTATATAGCAGTAAAGGCACTAACATATTCCTTGGGCAAGAACACTACCCTAACCCATTTGGATTTACGGTCTAATAAACTAAAAGATCCGGAAGGAAAAATATTGGCCGAATCTCTATGCAAGAATGATACATTGACCAGTTTAAATTTACAATCAAATAGTCTAGGAAATTTAGCAGGAGAAGCATTGGCAAAATCTCTATGCGAGAATATCACTCTAACTGATTTAAATCTAAAATCCAATAAACTAGGAGATTTTGCAGGAAAAGCATTAGCCGAGGCCCTATGCAAGAACACCGCTCTGACAAATTTAAATCTAGAATCCAATCAACTAGGAGATTTTGCAGGAAAAGCATTAGCCGAGGCCTTATGCAAGAACACCACTCTGACTGATTTAAATTTAAAATCCAATCAACTAGGAGATTTTGCAGGGAAAGCATTAGCCGAGGCCCTATGCAAGAACACCGCTCTGACAAATTTAAATCTAGAATCTAATCAACTAGGAGATTTTGCAGGAAAAGCATTAGCCGGGGCTCTATGCAAAAATATTACCTTGACCGATCTGAATTTACTAGGCAATAAACTAGGAGATTCGACAAAAATAATACTAGCCAAGGTTTTATGTATTAATACTAAATCAAAAATAAACGAGGATAAACTAATAGGAAAAAAACTGACCGAGTCACTCTGTGGGACAAATTTGGATATTAGTGGTAGCGGTATTGAAGAATCGTTAGGAGTAGCGATAGCCGAGGCTTTATACGAGAATAAAACAATTACTAATTTAAATCTAGAATCCAATCAACTGGGAGATTTTGCAGGAAAAGCATTAGCCGAGGCCTTATGCAAGAACACCACTCTGACTGATTTAAATTTAAAATCCAATCAACTAGGAGATTTTGCAGGGAAAGCATTAGCCGAGGCCCTATGCAAGAACACCGCTCTGACAAATTTAAATCTAGAATCTAATCAACTAGGAGATTTTGCAGGAAAAGCATTAGCCGGGGCTCTATGCAAAAATATTACCTTGACCGATCTGAATTTACTAGGCAATAAACTAGGAGATTCGACAAAAATAATACTAGCCAAGGTTTTATGTATTAATACTAAATCAAAAATAAACGAGGATAAACTAATAGGAAAAAAACTGACCGAGTCACTCTGTGGGACAAATTTGGATATTAGTGGTAGCGGTATTGAAGAATCGTTAGGAGTAGCGATAGCCGAGGCTTTATACGAGAATAAAACAATTACTAATTTAAATCTAGAATCCAATCAACTGGGAGATTTTGCAGGAAAAGCATTAGCCGAGGCCTTATGCAAGAACACCACTCTGACTAATTTAAATTTAAAATCCAATCAACTAAGAGATTTTGCAGGAAAAGCATTAGCCGAGGCCTTATGCAAGAACACCACTCTGACTAATTTAAATCTAGAATCTAATAAACTAGGAGATTTTACAGGAAAAGCATTTGCCGAGTGCCTATGCAAGAATAACACTCTGACTAACTTAAATCTTTGGTCAAATCAACTAGGAGATTCGTCAGGAATAGCACTAGCAGAGGCCCTGTGCAAGAATAATACTATTACTAACTTAAATCTAGGGTTCAATCAACTAGGAGATTCGTCGGGAAAAATATTAGCAGAGGTCCTGTGCAAGAATAAAACTTTGACTAATTTAAATTTAGGGTTCAATCAACTAGGAGATTCGTCAGGAATAGCACTAGCCGAGGCCCTATGCAAGAATAACATTCTTACTAACTTAAATATAGGGTCTAATCAATTAGGGTATTTGTCAGGAAAAGCATTAGCCGAGGCCCTATGCAAGAATGACACTTTGACTAATTTAAATTTAGGGTCCAATCAACTGGGAGATTGGTCAGGAAAAGCATTTGCCGAAGCCTTATGCAAGAATAACTCTCTTACTAACTTAAGTCTAAGGTTCAATCGACTAGAAGATTCGTCAGGAATAGCACTGGCCGAGGCCTTATGCAAGAATAACACTCTAACCGAATTAGATATAAGTTGCAATAAGTTAGGGGATTCGACAGAAAATGCACTAGCAGATGCTCTGTTTACGAATATCACTTTGACCGAATTAAATATAGGTTGGAATAATATAGGGAAATCGGCAAGAAAAGCAGTAGCAGAAGCATTAGACAAAAATATCACCCGCATCAATTGAAATCGGATGAAATTACTGGTATAATTATTGGTCGACATTAAATAAGAATATTCCAATAAATTAATTATACACTATATAAGTTAAAACGTTAACTAAAGCTCCATTAAATGCTCCGAGAACAGTTATAACTATGACAAAGTTGCCTTGGTGGATTTCATTATTATCTAGTATATTTAAATTTTATCTTATTTAAATAAAGAATATTACATAGTTTAATTATATTTTACACAATAAACATTTGTTTTTTTTATTTTTTCAAAATAAAGGTCTTGAGCATATAAATAATTCTTTTGTAATTTTTTCAAAAATTAAAATTTTTTTTTATTACTCCAAAAAATCCTAAAATTCACGTAAAATCAATACATTAAATAATTTTTATTTAATTTTAAATAAACACGATGGATTGAATATAAACCAAATTATTCAGAGGTAGTGTGATAATTTAAAAAATTTTTTTTTTACAAATTCACACTTTGAGTATTAATTACGTATTTAAGGGTCTTAAAGAACACGCGAAAATTCTCGTAGGCTTATAGAAATCCGTGAATCTGTTGCTAATATATCGCACATGTAGAGAATGCGTGATAGTTATATCCTCAATTTTTTTAAAAACACGCTCTAATTATATTCTACTTACACAATTTATTTAATGATTGCTGGTTGTAAGAATGACGTAAAAACTACCCGGGCAGTCATATAGTTTTATTACATGTAATTGGGAAATTCGATTGGATAATTACGTGATTACTACGTATATATACGCGTCCATCATTCATTATAATATAGGATCATCATACTTTTCAACACGCGATGTTTTCCGAGGACCGAACAGCATTTGAAAACCCGGCTGCCTTTGGAAAAGCTTCAAGCGAGGGAATAACGGATCGCAATACATTCTTGGATAGTGAGTACGCAGCCGCAACCGTTTGTGACACGGTAGACGACGAATCGCTTGATCTTCTGCTGAGTCAAGAATGGGAATTTCAACAGATAACCGAGAAAGATAATTATGCTGAATCAAGCACCGCTGCAACAAGCAGAAAAGTTAAAGAAAGGGGACCCTTATTTGATCGGCTTCCGGAAGAATGCCTTGATTTACGAGATGATACTTGTATTGATGCAGCCCAAAATGAAAGAGGTTATTATTTATGTTATTAGATATTATACCTTCGACATCTTTTTTATTAACAGTAAAATCAAAAGAAATAGGAAGACAAGAAGAAAGTTTTCATCCACCCTGCAGAGCAAATACTTCGGTAGATATTGATATCGATGAATTATTGGATGATGGAAACTATATGCGTTCTCGAAACTCTCTTTCTACCATGATATCTTCCGGGCGTCAATTAATATTTCCCGCAAAACGAGACAGATCGGTAATTAACAGAACGGATTTATGCTTTTTGTTTTTCTTTCATTCTCTTTTTTTCGAAACCTAATTTATTATTGAGCTCATAAGGTATCATTAAGGCATACAACTAAACAAAAGTCATTACTGAAAAAATCAATATATCAAATGATAAATGAAATAGAACGCGAAAAAACGCAATTAACCAGGTAAATCGAAAAATGATACGATCCAAAAATTTTGATAATGATTAAGTTCATGTTTTGCAGGCCTAATATAAGAGAAACGAGAACCGATGTTTGTCCCGCCGTTATTTCAGATATCAAATCCAGGTCATGGGTAGATAAATATCGACCTAAACATTACACAGAATTGGTCGGTGATGAGGTAAGGAAAATACGTTTGAATACTCAAGATAATGACAATTGATAGAAATATCTGAATCTTCGTAGAGTGTCAATCGAGATGTGTTAAAATGGGTGAATCAATGGAATTATTGCACATTCGGTAAAAAAAATTTTAATGGTGAAGTGGATGGAAAGAATAAACAGGTGATGACATACACGCACATAAATGTTTTATTTTAAATAACGTACCTATTTGATTTTGACTTTATAATTATCCACAGCAGCTGGACAAGTGGGATCGACCCGAAAAAAAGGTAAATTTTACGAGACAATGTAGGATATTTAGTGTATAATCTAATTTATCGTAATTACAGATTTTGATGCTGACCGGACCACCCGGATATGGAAAGACCACTCTTGCACACGTCGTAGCGCGTCATTGCGGCTACAATGTAATAGAAATTAATGCCAGGTAATTTCTACCGTAAGGATTTCAAGAAAAACCATTTCATTTTTATTATTTTTAGTTGTAACTATTATATTGTTTGATCATCCTTGTACGCATAGCGATGACCGGACAGGTCAAGTTATTAAAAACAAAATCACGAATGCTTTGGAATCAAATGCTATCAATTGTAAAAAGAAGCCATCTTTGATTATTATTGACGAGATAGATGGGGTTTCCGGTGCCGGAGAAGAGGTATTGGATAATCGTGCATTTGTATCGCATTTTTTTTTTATTATCAATCATATTCATTTCTATTTCCTTGTTAGAATTTCATCAAATCACTTATAGAATTAATTGATGTGGAAAAACAACCATCGCAAGACACCGGAAAAGATGTTAAAACCAGTGAGACATGTTATTATATGTTTGATATATCCTATCCGTTACATTATATTTAACAATTGATCTTTCTTCAGACAAAAAACATAAGCAGAAAACTAAGAGACCGCTTCGCCGGCCCATTATATGTATTTGTAACGATCTGTAAGTTATTGTAATATCCCCTCCTCTTTCTAGAATCCTAATATTAGAATATTTTTATTATGACATTATTAGATATGCGCCTGCATTGCGTCCTCTGAGAACCTATGTAAAAACAGTCCAACTGAAAAAAACCCAATCCGTTAAACTTGCGAAGAAACTAAAAAGGATTTGCGAGCAAGAGGAGTTATCGGCAGAAATGTCGACTTTATTTTTCTTGGCAGAATTGACCGAGGGAGATATAAGAAATTGTTTGAACACTTTGCAGGTACTAATTAATTAAATAAATAAGCGAGTAAATAAACTTTACTGATTAATCATCAAACTCTCTTTTTCAGTTTATCAAAGAAAATCATAAGTTGGTAACAAAAGAATCAATAATAAGATCGAACGCTGGTAAAAAAGACTTCAACAAATCTTTATTTGAGATATGGGGTGAATTATTTCAATTGAGGAGTTCAAGAACGAAACCTAACGAAAAAAAATTATCACAAAATTCCGGAGCATATGGTAAATCTTCGATTTACCCCGTTTATTTTCTTTAAATTGTATCCTAAATTTCATTTCATTCGTAGAAAATGACGTAAATCGATACATCACTTATTTGGAGTCTATCATAAGCATCAACGGTGAATACGAAAAGATATTACAAGGCAAGATATTTGTGCTATGTTTAATATAATAAAGGAGGACATTAAATATAATTTTTACTTTTTAGGATGCTTTGAAAACTTTCTTAAATTGAACTTTCATGATTCAAAATACAAACTTTTTCAAAGCATTGAATGGATGAACTTTTATGATCAAGTTAACCACCTGATCAATTCCCAACAATTATTCGAACTAAACGGTTACAACCCTTTCCCTCTTATAAGCTTTTACCGATTTTTCGCGGGCAGTATTCTTCCACGTATTGAATACCCAAGGAAGGATTATGAGGTGCGTGACACAGTGCGTCGGATTACTGCTATTTTTCTGCGTCGCATTCTAACCGTTTTCTTTGTTGAAAAGAGTTATGCTCAAAAACAGACAAATGAAGAATTAATTTCATCTTTATTAAACGGAGTTCCATTACAATGTCGAATAAACATGGACAAAGTAAAGTTCTCAACCGAGATCATTTCGCATTTGATGAGAATTATTCACCTGAGGCTAGAAACGGTATGTTGTCGAGATTTGGATTAGTGCAAAGTTTGCGCAAATGTTTTTATAATTTAATTTAATTTGCATATCTTTATTGATAGGAACGGGAAAGTAAACTATCCGCATTACCGTTGAATGACAAACTTTCGAGGGTGGTCGATATAATGCTTCACTTTGATCTGAGGTTTTCTCAAAAAATGGAAAACGGAAAACTATTTTTTAAGATTGAACCGTAAGAAAATTTCGGTCTCTCAATTGTGAACACCTTTATAAAATAGCAATTTAAACAGTGAGCCATTCTCTATTTAGGTCAATAGACAGTCTTGTATCATTTTCGAATAATTCATCAAAGAGCAACTTATTGAATCATGAAAAGTCCAAGCAGTTGATAATGAAAGAAGTAATGGTTTAAAATACTTTGCCGCCATTTTTATAATAGTCAATGTACTCATTCCGTTTTTTTGCTTGAGCAGATTGATATGAAGCTGGAAAATGCAGCTACCAAAAAACGAATCCATTCAAACAAAGATAGTTTGTACGTGTTTAAGTCTTTCGATTTATATTGACGGAAGAAATATTCTTATTATTATTGAATTGATAGTAATATGAACGATTACAAATTTCAAACGGATTCAAGAACACCGCAGAAAGACGTGGATACAAAAAAGGCAATTATATATAATCCATTTGGAACGGATAAAAAAGAAAATTTTGAATCTCACTTTTATCAATTTTAATAGCCTTCGTTAGATTTCTTTGGCAGACCAAAGATCGAGAGTGAATCGTCAAAAATAAATCCAAGTAAGATTGGTAAATTACGATTACGTCAGTTGACTCCATTGATAATGACCTGAAACTGTAATGTTTTGTCCAGATATTCTCAGTATACCGAAAGTTTGGTACACGTACCACGAAGGGACTTCCAAGGCTGTAAGAACTAAGATGAGATTAAAAGATTTTTTGTAAAATATATTTTCGAATGTATTGTAATTTTTTTACTCCAAATAAATTGCACTTAATAAATACAAACATAACACAGTTAAAGTTAAAACTCAATTCCGCATAATAAGATTAGTTCAATTGTGTTTAGTTCATTTGCCGTCTCCGATAACATTAATTTCATTCCAAGTATTACAAGTTTAATCTTTTCAGTGTTGCTTTATTGATCTCCATGACTTAGAAAACCAAGTGGTTGAAGTATAAGAATCGCTTATTTTTTATACGTTTAATAACTTTAATGGGATTGTGATTGTCATATTACATAATTAATAGACTCTACAATGCAATGGTTTTAGAACGTTTGGTTGTTTAAAGAACATTATCAAAATTTGAACAAAAACTTATTAAAATTAAAATCAATTATTTGAATTTTTATAAATTATGATTACGTTTGAATTCTTTAATTTATTCAAGAGTAAATTAATTATAAAAACCATTATTACAATTTCTCAAAAATTATATATTTTTAATTATTTTTTAACACTTTTAATTAAATAATGATAATACTGCAGTGGTGATCTGCAGGCAATGATAATAGTGGAAGGATTTTTACTTAAACTTCTAATGGAATGATAAATTACTTCTGAAGTTGCACTTAGAGTTTTAAAGAAATATAAAACAAAAATAAGTAAATTAGATAAAGATTTAAAAAAAATTTTTTTTAAATTAAATAATAATAATAATATTTTTAATTCAACTTCAAAATTTTTTATATATAATTTAAAAATTAATTTTTTTTTTAAATAAAATTTTGCTTAAATTAATTAATTATACTTATATTATTAAATATTTATAAACTATATAAAACAACGCTTTTTATGGATTTTTTAATCACATACAAAAAAAAAATATATATAAAAAGTTTTTTTATTTCTTTATTAATAAAATCTTAAAACTTTTCTTAAATAACTTGAAATATAATTTCAAAAGTGATCTGTGAGTCTATAGTGCAGTGGATACATTTCCAGGTTACCATTCACAAGTTACTGGTTCAATTCCACTTCAGAATAGTATTTGTAATATAAATTACGTTATACAAAATACATGCTCACTCAACCATATATACACTTATACATAAAAAACAATCTATAGACTTCTACTGTCTAATTACGATCTCTTTCAGGTCATACAACTTTGGCCAGTTTTAGCGCTAAGTCACAAAACCTATGAATTCTACCATCTGAAATATGTAAAGAGTCCAAAACAAGTCAAGAACAAAGCCCTCAATTGATTCAACCTCTTAACAACTATAGGAAGAAAATTTACTTCATATCAAAACTACATCCTATGAAAGATAAGAGAGACTTCAGTCACTTGTACCTGTTAAAAATGTAATGGGTCAAGATGAGACATATAAGAGATTATTTGATTATTCAATCAATAGTTACCAAAGAGGACAACTATTGTGAATGCTGGGGATTAGTTTTAACATCACATTGAAAACCACAGGGTAAATTAGCAATTTGAGAGAAGCAATTTAAAAAGTAATAATCAAGAAAAACTCTTGTATACTAACTTGTAAGAGTGATTAAAAATGAAACAATGGAAGTCTATATTCTATTTAATCATTGTAACAATATTGAATTGCCTGGATATCAAAGAATATAACCAGAGGACTGTGTCATCTAAGGTTTCAACTAATTTGTAAAGGATCAAACATAGTAAGGATAATTCATAGTACCTACCATCATTAAAAATGATATATAAAACCTCTCTAAGAAATACACATCACGAACCCCTGAAGATTTAAATAAGTAGTTCAATAATGGATCTTCAGAATACTATAAGGCCCAGGTAGAGTAGAGCAATTGACAAAAATGGTATCACTAGTTGATAAAATTGGTGGACTTTGCAAAGATAGGTAATTTAAATAGGATTATTATATTATCACTCATGTAATCTAAAAATATATCACTGAATACTCAATAAAGTTTTATCCTATTAGTTGGACTTTAAAATAATAATAATAATAATAATAATAATAATAATTTCAAAAGTCATTTTTATTTTTTTTTCTTATTTATAAATCTTTTTACTTAAAGACTTAGTATTAAATAATAAAAAAAAAATCAAATAAAATCATTAATATCAATAGTAAAAAAGTTTTTTTTAAAAAAAAAACTATAAATTATCTAAAAATCTTTTTAAATTTTAAAATAAAAAATTATAAAGATTTTTTGTAATAAAAAAACTTATGTTTTTTTTAATTGTTTTAATTTTCCTAAAATTTTTATTTTTATGATTTTCTGAAAAAATTTATCTATTTTAGCTTAATTATAATTTTTATTAACATAAATATTATTAAAAATAATTTATTAGCATAAAATATATTATTTTATAAAATATAAATATATTTCTATTAATTTAAAAAATTATAAAAAAACTCTTTCCGCTAATCCTCTGATTATATACAAAAAAGGTGTTCACAAAAAGTTTCTATACTTTTTTGCTAATAAAGTTTTAATACTTTTATTAAAACAACTTGAAGTATGACTTCAAGAGTCATTTCTACCCTTTCCCTTTTATTTATAAACCTCTTTACTCAAAAACTTGACTTCTAGTGATCAAGAAAAGTCAAGTAACACCTTTGATATCAATGGCAAGAAAGTTCTCAAAGGAAGAAGAACTGACTGTAAAGTATCTGAAGGCCTATTTAATCTTTAAAGAGAGAGATATATGGAGGTTTTTGATAATAGAAGGGCTTATTTTTCCTCTTTCAGTCACTTGTGGGCCTCTTAGAGCTATCGCTTTCATGGTTTTCTGGGAAATTTTGCCTACCTCAGTTTGATCCTGAATTTTTGATAGCACAAAACTTTATCAAAGGTAATTGGTTGACACGAAACATGTTAGTTTTTGGAATGTAAATAAGCTCTTATTGGTCACATTCACATATTCTGATGACATCATTGGTGATTGGAAAGAAGGTTTTGAAAACGGTTGCCTTTAAAAAGCTCAAGTTCCTTAATGAAAACTTCTACAATACCAAAAGACCATGTGATAAGTAATGTGGATTGCAAACTCCTATCTCTTACCTAAGTTCCTCAAGTGGTGACAAAGCTTTAATAGAAAAAAGCTGAGGTCTATATATTTTCTTTGAGATATTTCAATCTGGTACTCACTTAAATAAAAGACCAGTTGTATTGACTTGTCTGATGTTATAGATAGTGAAAAAGAAGATTTCTTCTGAGATTTAAATAAAGCAAGAAGACTATTCCAATCATGTAGATTTCTTTTGAGAAGAAGTTGTTTTTATTTTTGGATTTTTTTGATGGATCTTGAATTGTCTTTTTTCCTCAATCATTTTTCCCCTTTCCTCTTTTTAATTTAACAATTTATTGGTTTTTGGGCAATCAACAATTATAAACTGTTGGCAATGATCCTGGTAGATAGAGATTATTACTAATCTATTAAGGAAGTGAAATATTGTCATCAAAATTTAACTTAGAGTATTTTTGTATGAAGACGAGTTAGTCACTTTTAAAAGTCTATAAAATATTATAAATTTATTTTTAATTTTTCAATAAAGATATATCATTGTGGTATGATTGTGGATTAAAAATAAATAAATAAATAAATAAATATGTTTCTATTAATTATATTTATATACAGTTGCTTCCAAAAGTTTGAGTTCACTTACTATGTTTTTATTATAAATTTTAATTTTGACAATTTTTAAATCATTAACTATACAGTCAAAAATTATAAAATTTATATATGTTATATTTTAATACTTATTATATTTCTTGTATTTTTTTAAAAAAAATTTTATTAATATATTCTAAAGTTTTATTATTGCTAAATATCTTTATTTTTTTATTAATTATTATATGATTTACGATAATAGCCAATCAAAATTCTCCAAAAGTAAAAATTTGATAAAGAAAGAAATTTTTGAACAATAATAAAACTTTAAAAATTACATATCAAAAATTTTTAAAAAAATTATAATAAATAAAACTATTATTAAGATATAATATATATGAATTTTATAATTTTTGGTTGTATAATTAAGAATTTAAAAATTGTCAAAGTTGAAATTTATAATAAAAACATAATAAGTGGACTCAAACTTTTGGAAGCAACTATATTTGATAATAAAGTAGTGATTAAAAAGAAAGTTAAATTAAGATCTAACCTAGCTATGGGTATCCCTAAAAAAAAAAAATAAATAAATAAAAAAAAAAAGTTTTGAAAACTGTTTTTCTTTAAAAATCTTAAATTTTAAGAGAAGTATTCAAAATATGAAACACAAAAGAAAAGTAATATAAATTATAAAATCCTATTCTTCATAAGTTTTTTAAGAAATAAAGTTTTCTCAATTTGAAGTTGAAATCTTTAAATTTTTCTTAAATTATTGCAATTCAGTACTTACTTAAATAATAAATCTAGTTTATTAATATTAATTTGTTTAATATTATAGATAATGATAAAGAAAATCTTTTTTGAAGTTTAAGTAAAAACAAGAAAAATATTTCAACCAAACAAATTTTTTTTAAAAGACGATTGTTTAATTATTAAATTTTTTTGAGGTAACTTGAATTGTATTTTTTTTTTAAACAATTTATAA